CTGGCTGTACAGGCAGGGAAACTGAGGCATGGCACGGTCAGGGGCCAGACTCAGCCCAAGTGCTCCACCAGGGATCCCCACCCCTGGTTGGGCAGGCTCTGGCCACAGCCTCGCTCCAACCTGCCCGCACCTTACCTGTGCAGCGGAGCTGGACGCAGCTGCAGAGCAGGGCGAGGGGGAGCCGCGCACCTGCTCTCCTGGGACCTGCAACCAGAAGAGGAGGCAATGCTGAGCCTGGTAGGGGTCAGGGGGAGAGGGAGCTGGGTGGGGGGCAGCAATCCTGGAGCCCTGCTCCCAGCTGGGGTAAACGCCCTTCACCATGCCTCAGTTTTCCCACCTGTGCAACAGGCAGAGGGGTCTTCCCTATACCTGCAAAGCTCTCTAGCTGCTCCCCAATCCCACCACATCCCCCACAGCTGCCCCTCCCTCCTCTCCCCCAGTCCTCCTGCATCTGGAAGGGGGCTTGGACCCCCTCCCACGCCGGCAGCAACCCTAGCACAGCAGGGCAGGGCTGTGGGCAGTGCCAGCATACAGGGGCCCTACCTGCCGCCAGGCCTGGGCTGCACATCCTGCCAGCTGGCTCCAGGCTTTGGAGGTGGCACCTTATAGAGCCGAGGCCCTGCCTAGCCAGAGCTGACTCTCAGACACTGGACTAAGGGGAACCCCTGCTTCCCTCCGCGCTGTGCCGACAGCACGGGGGCTGTGGGGGACGTGGCAGGTTGCCTTCACAGGTCCAAAAGTTGGAAAATGCATCAGTGCTGGCACCTGGTGAGATGGGCAGGGCGAGGATGGAGTGGGGGGCGCCTGGCCAGGGCTGAGGGCACAAGGGTGGGGTGGCGGGGAGAAGTTGTGGCAAGGGGCCAAAGCCTGGGGAGCTGAGTCCTGCCGTGTTGCCAAGCAAAATGAGCCTGGCAGCGCTGGGCTGGGAGCCCCAATGCAGGCCATGGAGGGGCCTCGACCTCCCTGCTCCCCTGGCAGGAGCCACACTCTGCAACTGCTGTCCTGCACAGCCTTAGTCATGTCCCTCCCTATGATTTCCTTGGGCCCATCTCCACCTGGGGGGATGAGATGGGGAGATGGGCAGGGCGCCCATCCTCCACCCCATATGGGTGCCACGTCACCCTGACCCAGCCCCACCTCAGGCCCAGTCCTTGCCCCCTCCTCCAAGGCCCTCCCTGTAGTGTCGGTGGGGAGCAGCCTTGCTGGCCCCTGATGGAGGCAGGGCCCCATGCACCCCTCTATGCGAGTGGATGAAGGGAACACCAGGGCCATCACGTCCTCCAGGCCCCGGCCCGTGTCCCCACAAGGTGTTCTCCTGTGGGTACGGGGACTGCATAAAATCACTGTGCAGGGGAGAGAAGGGTAAGACACAGTCACAACTTTTTGGTGTTTTTTTTGTAAATGTGTATCTCTATCTCTGTGTCTAGATCGATATGGATATAATGGTCACACACAGATGCACACACCTAGTCACTGCTCACTGCATTCGTACCCCACCATGGGAACCCGTGCACCCATTACATACAACCCTCATGCCCGCCGAACAGTGCTCCCACGCACCCAGCCGCAAGGCATGATCTCCTTTAAAAACCCTTGTCTCTTACTCCTGTCCCTGAATCCAGGGTTTAAAACTCAGTTCATTCACTGTTGCTTTTGCTGGAGGACCTGCAGCTGCTGTCACCCTCATTGTTGTCCTCCGATCTGGTTGTCTTGAGGTCCTCTTTGCTGGTGCTGTCCGTTTCTCCACTGCAGGGTCTTGAAAGACCCTGAGCCGAGCGTCCCTCTACCAGGTGGGTTTGGCTGCGTCCTCGCTGCTGCCGATTTGTGGTAGTGGGCCTGGCACTCGCTCAGAGCCACTTTAATGCAGTCTACCCCCTCGAGGTCCATGGGTGTGCTTGTCAGGAGGTGGCTGCGCTTCCACGGGGTGCTCCTCATGCACGATGTGACCTGGTCGAAGCGGGCGGACAAGCTCCCCTGGTGTTTTGGCAGGTGTCCGCACAGCGCAGTCTCTCTGGTCAGCGGTCTGAGCCCTGTTGCTGCTTCGCAGAGCCACTTTACCTTCTTCTACACCTCCTTACAGGAGGTGCCACTAGTCTCCTTGGCAGATTGCCCTTGGGCAGCTGGGGCTCCCCAGTTGCCCTTCTCTACGTCTCTGGGTCCTCAGTGGCAGGGCTCGGTGGGCTATCCACCAGTTCAGGTCTCTGCGGTCTTTTATGTTTCCTCACGCCTTGACAAGCATTGCCCAGGAGCAAGCCCACGATGCATCTCACCGCCTCCTGCATCTTCTTGTGCTTGGCCACAGTTGTGGGGCCTGCACTCTGCAGCCCGTGCCCACTGCACGACTCGACCAGGGTTGTGTAGCTCCACAGCGGGTTCACAACCACGGTCGAACCGTTGGTCAGCATGAAAACCCCCTGCTGTCTTGGAAGGGGTCCTGCAAAATATCTCATGAGCCCGACTGTGTTGGACCATGCACCCATTGCCAGTCTGCAGATCCAGCTTGCGTACGTTGCCCACAGAAACGGGAGGATGTCTGGCTTGCCCCTTCCCCCAGCCCGTTTCCTCTTGTGCAGGGTCTTCTTAGCTGCCTTCGCCCATGTGGATCCCTGCCAGAAAATGCACGCGGCTCCCTGGATCCTGTGGGTGAACTGCTTGGACGTGGGCAGGACCTGTGCAGTGTCCAAAGCACCAGCACAACGCTGCCTCCACCAGCGCCAGTCACCCCCCCCACCAAGAGAGGCAGTGCAAGGGCTGCGGACCCAGCTTCTGCTTTCTCTTCACCTCTGATATTTCCCATGTTTTTTTGCCACTCAGCTCAGGATTGAAGACCCACCCCCCTGTGCCCCCCTGCCCTCCAGCTCAGTCCTGGATGCACTGGTACCAGCCAGGGCAGCCATTCCAGGAAGGTGCCCATGGCTCCCTTGACCCAAAGCTGCAGCATCCCCCATCCTCCTTGTGTCTGTCCCACGAGCAGCGGCTTCTCCACCCCCGGTGGGGGAGTGCAGAGGGGACCCAGACCTTGCCCCCTGCTCCCTGTGCCTGTTCTCCTTTCCCTGGCAGTGGCCCCTGCTCAGGTGTTGGCACAGCGGAGCGCTGGCCCCGGGCTTCAGGGCTCATGGCAACCCAAGGAGCTGGCACCCGTTTGAATGGGGGAAGCTTGTCCAGCTGCAGCATGTGCCTGCTGTGCCCCCACCCTCCCCCATTCGCCCACCCTCCTGCCCCGTTCCCTTCCTGCAGCACGGCCTGTGCACACCCCTGTCCTGCCCCGGGGCACAGCACCACCCAAACATGCTGGAGCCCAGGCTGGGTTCGTCTGGTCCCAGCTGAGCCCACGACCTGCTTCGGCTGCTTTCTGAGCTCCGCACTGTGCCTGCGTCCCTGGAGCAGCCCTGGCCTGGCACTGCCAGCAGCATGACCCCGTCTCTCCCACCCAGCTCCTTTCCAGAGTTTTGTTTAGTCCAGCCCCTCCCGCAATGCCCTAACGGCTTGAACAGGAGACGTTAGACCAGCCCCAATCATAATCTCCCCACAGTGATGTTGAAATGTGGGCACGGGCTTGGCTATGCGTCGGGAACCTAGCGCAGGACGGTTTATCGGAGTCCTCTGGACAAGATGGGCCCCTTTCAGGTGCTTCCAGCTGGACACCCAAGGACGGCAAAAATATCAGCCATGTTTGAAAACATTGGCTGGGAAGCGCAGGCTGCATTGGTCAGAGGGAAGTTCACAAACCTGGAGTTTGCTGGGCCCACTTTTTAAGTTTAAAAAAAAAAAAATCTTCCTTTCGAGCACGTTTTAACCTTAAAAGCTCCAAGCCTTTTACAGGGTGCACGCAAGTGCAAAGCCACCTCCGGGGTGGAACAAGGTAGAAAGGGAGAAAAGTTGCCAGAGGCTCTTCCCCCCCCACCGAGACTCTTGGTAGGCAAAGCAGGTGGGAATTTGCCACAAGTGGGGTCTTTATTGAAGTGTCCCCCTAAGGGGAAGAGGTGCCGCCCGCCCCGGGCTCCAGCGCCTTCTAGTCGCGTGGCCCGTCAGCCGACTGCTGCTGCCCGGGGACGAAGCGCAGCCGGTCCTGGCGGCCAAGCATGCGAGGCTTTCCAGCCATGCCCGGTCAACCGCCAGCCAGGAGCCTTGGAGCAGAGCCCGGAGCTACCAGGCCCAGGGTGCGTGGTGCATGAGGAGTCTTGTCCCGCTCCTGCGTGCGGGGAGGTGGCGGTGGCGGAGGCCGGGGCCTGGGCTCGGCCTAGCGGGGAAGGCGGCTGCAGTGCGATGCTGATCCCCAGGACTGGCCCCTGTCTTCAGCTATACCGGCTGGAGAAAAGTGCTGGGTGAGAACCAGGCTCGTGGGGCGCCCTGGACACTGCCCCCGTGCACGCAGTGCAGGCTGGGCCTTTCCCTCGGCTCCAGCAGCCAGGGCTCCCACCGGCCCAGCTCGGTGGGGGAAATGCGGCTGCCTCTGGGGTGACGCGCAGCAGCGCAGGCACCGCAGGGCTCTCACCTGTCCCAACCTGAGCCCTCTGTGCCTGCTGCTCCCTCTGTCGCGGGCTGCCACTGGAGGGTGGTGGTGGCCAGCCCGGCAGGGCTCTTCACTACACACATGAACCAGGTGCTCAGGTCCTGTTCGGAGAAGGCCTTGAATCGCAGCTCCCGCCGCAACATGACGCCGGTGCCCACGGGCTCCTTCCTGCAGACGGAGGCATGGATGAGCGTCGAGCATCGCTCACAAGAGCCGCGCTTTGCCCTTGGATGGACTAGTGCTGGGCACCGGTGGGAGTCCCAGCCCCACGAGCCAGCCCCGGGGGTCCCGCCAAACCAGCCTGGCACTCACTGCACAGCTCCTTCCTGCACGGCGCCATCGGGGTACAGTTTCTCGACGAAAGAGCGGTTTGCCAGCCAGTACATGAGCGTCATGTCCGGGAAGGCGCTTTTTGCCTCGCACGACACGGAGAAGTTTGCCCCTGCGGGGGGAGGCGGAAGTAGGCGTGGGGCTCTCTGCTGGGGGTCCCAGTGCTGGAGCAGGGGGTGGGTGTCAGCAAGGTGGGGTTGGGGGTGCACTTACCCAGGGGAGGTCTCGGGAGCGGTTTGAGGGGGTAGATGATCTCCGGGAGCAGCTTGGAGCTCGCATCTGAGGGCAGAGAGCGGCTGGTGAAGCAGGGAAGGGGGTCTGGGACTGGGGGCACTGCCCTGCCTGGCTCCTGCAGTAGGGCACTGGTTGTACAGGCAGGGAAACTGAGGCACAGCGTGGTCTGGGGCCAGGCTCAGCCCAGGTGCCCCAAAGGGGACCCTGCTTCTCCCCCCGCCTGCGCAGGCTCTGGCCACAGCCTCACCCCAACCTGCCCATGCCTTACCCATGTGGCAGAGCTGGATGCAGCCACAGAGCAGGACGAGGGAGAGCCATGCGCCCACTCTCCTGGGACCTGCAACCAGAAGAGGAGGCAACGCTGAGCCTGGTAGGGGTCAGGGGGAGAGGGAGCTGGGTGGGGGGCAGCAATCCTGGAGCCCTGCTCCCAGCTGGGGTAAACGCCCTTCACCATGCCTCAGTTTTCCCACCTGTGCAACAGGCAGAGGGGTCTTCCCTATACCTGCAAAGCTCTCTAGCTGCTCCCCAATCCCACCACATCCCCCACAGCTGCCCCTCCTTCCTCTCCCCCAGTCCTCCTGCATCTGGAAGGGGGCTTGGACCCCCTCCCACGCCACCACCGACCCCACTTCAGCAGGGCAGGACCGTGGGCAGCAGCAGCGCTGAGTCCTGCCCCTGCCTGCCGAGCCCTACCTGCCCCTGGGCTGCACATCCTGCCTGCTGGCTCAGCTGGCTCGGGATGTGGGACGTGGGAGGCAATTTCTTATAGAGCCGAGGCCCCGCCTGCGCAGAGCTGACTCACAGGCACCCGGCCAAGGGGAAAGCCCACTGTGGTCTTCCGGCAACCCCAGTGCTCATGGGTGAGCCATGGGGAATAGTCCAGGCCAGGCCCTGGGGGTGCCAGGGTCCTTGATGCCCGGCAGGGGCTACAGGGCCAGTGGTATGGGGCAGCTACTGGGGAACCCCCCCATAGTTAGTCGTCTCCATTTCCATTTTCACTGACTGGCTTTCTTGCCTGCATTGCCTGCCAGGCCAGCCTCCGGCTTCTTTCTATTCCCTCCAGCCCGGACCGGGAGGCGCATCCACTGCAGGTACTGCCGCAGCTGACAAGGGTTTTTCAAGCCGAAAGCTTCCTAAGAGAGATTTTTACAGGTTTAGTTTTTTCCACAATGAACATATAGACACAAGAGAAGCCATCACACAGCATGAGTAGCAGGTCTCCAACACAACCTCTTTACTTTTCCCGGTTGCCTGCCTCCCACCCTGGACCGGCGGGCAGCTTCCCTGTGGGGAACGGCCCGGGACCTGCTCCTTCCCCCTCTCCCGGCAGGGAAGCATTGGGACGGGGCTGCAGCTGGGAGGGAGCCCCACAACCCCCAACATGCCCTATGC